CCCCCCCGCCTCGCCGGTGGCCTTGTAGGTGCTGCGTCCAGCGCGGACACGGTGCGGCGCGGCTCGGGAATTGGCGCTGGGTTTGGTAGCGAGGGCTGGGCGCCATCCCGGCGGTCGCAAAGGTGGGGTGGGCACCGGGCTTCCACCTCGCCTACGCCCGCGGCCTGAGGAACAGGTAGGGGCTTGCTAGGGGTGTTCTCCAGGATGGATCCATTGCCAACACTTGACAAGATCGTGTCTTGTCTGTATATCGTGGGACAGTAATTTTACCGATTTATTGGGGTAGATCTTGTTGTGCTGAACAGAAATACTCTTCCGTGCAAATGCTGAACACGTTTCCCTGCGGAGCTCACAGCCTGCCGCCATGCCAGCGATCTTCCCACCGGCGTGCACCCAAGGATCAGCATCCTGGCAGCAGGCGGGCAGCGGGAGAAGGGCCCAGGACGCAGTGACTCGACTGGTGTGGTGCTGCTCTCCGGGAGCAGCCTGACAAAGGTACGAGCGGTCGTGACCATCTCCCGCTGCCGATGAATCAATCACAAAATACCCGGTGGCGTCCGAAAGAGATTGTCTCCAAAAGCTGTTGTATCTCCAGGATTCAGCCAACATCTGAAGACTTTTGGTCACCAGGGGGTTGCTCGGCCAAGGCGTTCACCCCAGAAAAGGTTTTGTCCTCTGGTGGCGAAAGCCCCCATCTCTCCGGTCTGAGAGAGTGTCCTCCATCGGTCAAACCCCGCCCAGATGGAAAAATGAGTGGTCCACTGATTCTTCTGCTGCTGCGCAGTGCCAAGCTCTGCTGCCCGTACGTGCAGAGGGGAGACCCCAGCGAGCATCTTCTCTGAATGCCCGTGTCAAGCCGCACATTGGGGAGTGGCTCTAAGAAAACTGAACTAGAAGAAAGCTGCTGTGTCTCATAAAACTGAAGACATTTACAGTCACAAGACCTCAGCCAGTGAACTGGTGGATTCGAGTTTGTGCTGTCCCTCGGAGGCAGCGTGCGGCAGGGCCGACAGGGTGCAGGCAGGGGAGCGTGGCGGTTTGCACGTCAGCTCGTTGGCACTTTCTCTGGCACTGGAGCTGCGTCATCCGTCACCTTCGCGGGAGCTGAAATTGGCCCCTTGCAGGCTGCGGCAGACAGGACCCACAAGCCTGGCTTGGGAAATTAAAGCGCCTGAACTGAACCGATACTTCAACAACTCCGTCATTCCGTAGCACCGAATGCCGAAAGCCTGGGTGTGGCTGGGCACGCGGGGCTGCCACCACAGTCCCCCCGGAGAGCCCCAGCCTCTGGAGGGGCCACCGCAGTCGGTGACTCTGCCCCTCCAGGGAGCCCGTGGTGCTCGAGCCCAACCTCGGGGTGGCCACCAGCATCCTTGCAGATGCACAAAAGGGAGATCTTGCAAACCTCTGCCTTTCCCACAGGAGGGAGAGCTTCCTCCGAGGGAGGAGAGCCGAAGCGACACCCCAGCTCCATTTGATGCTATTCAATTCATCTGAAATTATCCCAGCTTGGAGGGACCCATCAAGTCTGAAAGGCAGTCCCAAGGATCCGGGCAGGCCATCTCACCCCTGCTCTGCCTTTCCTTTCCTAGAGTGAGTGTCTTGGTGTTTTCACCATGGAGACTTGTAACCTGGACCTTGGTTTACTGTGCACTGCGAACTGCCCCCAGAGTACTACTGCAAGCCCCCAGCATCATTTCTGAGGCTGTGGTGAGCCAAAAGCAATGGAAAACCTCTTCACGTTAACTCGTTGGCACTTTCTCTTGTACTGGAGCTGCATCATCTGTTGCCTTCGCGGGAGCTGAAATTCACCCTTTGCAGGCAGGGGAAGACAGAGGAACTGCAAGCCTGGCTGTGGAATTAAAGAACCCGAACTGAACCGATACTGGAAACATCTTCATGTTTTCCGTTTCTTCAGCATCTTCATTGCCCGCATCCCTTTGCTGCACTGCACCGACAGGGACTGGAAAAGGGGGTAAGCCGGGGGTACCTCGATGCAGCCCAGCCCATTGGCAGCCCCCATCGCAGACGTCCCCCCGTTGTTCCCAGAGAGGCTGTTTACTGCAACCGGGTGTCCCCAGGGGGACACCCCCGACCGCATGCTGTGCCACGGTAGGGAGGCGCTCCCGAGTCCTCGGCGGTCTCTGGGACGCCCTGCGGCGTGATGCAAGCTGATATTTTTCTCCCACTTTAGACATGTATTTATGCTCACTTTGTCTCAGTTCATCAGGAGATGGGGTTTGCTCTCTGCCCTCGTTTCGGACAGATCCGAGGCTGGGGGCTGTTCTGTGCCTCTTCAGTCGAGTACGTCTGGTAAATCTTAGATTTCAGAACAGCTTCATATACTTGCAGGACATTCATTTCATACTAATAGGGCTCAAAATGGCAGTGTGACAAATCAAGAGGGTTAATTCTGTAGGAACGTGTCTGTATTAGGAACAGATAAAATTTGTTTATGTGTAAATAAATCCAAACCAAACCAGGTCCTTCCTACTTTTTTGTTTAAATAAACAAAGGAACTGTCAGTCCTAACTCGCTCTCCCCTTACAATAAGTGTAATAAAATGAAACAACCCTAACAGGTTTGCCAGTAAGGTACCACCGACACAGCAGCGTAACTAGAAAAAAGATTTATTATCATCACAAGGCAATCATTTGTGTACTTACTGGAGTAATATCATTACTTAAGCATTTTCACAGCGCATTTATGATATAACTGTGAGGCTCCAACAAAAGCAGTGGGGCTGGACTTGGTTTGCTACCCATGCTATGAACGTTTGAAATCATCGATTGCTGGTGAGGAGAGGGTTGTGTGACGCTTGTGCGTAGCCAGCAGAACAACAGCTGAACACCAGCCTCAGATCTGCATCTTTATTTGGACTTAATTTTTCACTAACACAGCTTTGGGAGCAGAACAAGTAAATCTACGTATGATGCTCGGATCCTGCAATCACAAAACTGGGCAATTGTGAATTATTTCATTGACTCCAGTGTGCTGCCTGCGAATACTAATTTTTTCTGTCTGCTCTACCACCAGGGAGTAGCTCGGACATTTCCTCACGTCAGGGGGTGAGAGAGGGAAGGGGCTGGTCTCTAACCCAGCCTCCTGCTGACAGTGGGACCGTCCCTAGCACGAGATCAGTGGCTGTGGCTTTACTTAGCCAAGCCTTGAAAACCCCCCAGGATGGAGACCTCCCCGCCCCCTTGGTGACCTGTCCCGGGGCTGTAAGATGTGTCACTGGACTGCCTGGGAGGAAGAGCAGACCCTTTCCTCGCTTGGCCACTGCCTGGATGACTTTTTGCAAGTGACTTTATCCTCTGCCTCCGTTTCCCATCTGCCCTAAGAGCTACTGTTATCCAGCAGCAAAAGCAGCACCAAGTCTGGAACTGCACCAAGTGCCAAGCCCCGCAGCAAGCCCTTCACCCCGGAGCCTGTCTGTGCAGGAGAGCCCCCGGCCCGTCTAACCTGCAGAGAGGCTCTGGGTGGATTAAGACTGTACATATATAAATACATACATATGTATTAACCTAGAGCATGACAGCTGAGGAGGGTGCCAGGCTCACACACGCATGCTGTGCTCACACGTGTGCTGCTCGTGCCCTTATCCACGCCTACACCCTGGGACAGCAAGGGAAAGCCCCAGGCAGGGGGACCCCGCCGTGGGACGCATTAAGAGGAGGGTGCAAAGGCAGCCTCCCACCCTGGGACATGCCTGCCCGTGGTGGAGGGATTTCTCCAGCAAGCACTGGGCAATGCCTGTTGTTACACTCGGTCAACCTCCATAGACGGATCATCACCGGTCAACAGGCCAAGCCGAGAAACGACCGGCTCTTTATCCTATTACCGCTGTCAGGAGTTGTCCAGGTCATTGCAAGCCTCTTAGCTCTGCTTTTAGAGATCTATCTCTGAAATAAAGGTCTGTGATTATAGCTCTCTAATGCACCCACCTTGTCTCTTTTCTGGACTTGGGAGTCCGACTCTTTCCTCTCTGCCATCCCTTTGATCGGTAACTGTGGATTCACACCTTAATTAATACAGATCCGGGCTGTGAATTTGGAAGCGGACTGGTAGATCCAGCCTTGTCTCGCTGGAAAACTGCCCTGCACCGGAAGCCTGCTTAGACCCCCCCGACATGGCAAGGGCTGTTCGCCCACATGTTGGTCGAGGAATGGAAGTGAGGAACAAAGTCCAAGAGTTTTAATGACGATGCAGAAGGACAGAGTTTACTCAAACAGGAGCATTTCCCCTCTCAATCCTCGGTCCTGGCAGGGTCCTGAGTCCCCTCTCCTCTCCATTTGCTCTGAGAGTCTGAGAAAGGGCATAAAAAGCTTGAATTTCTAAGTGAAATGTCACGAGAAATGGTCCCGTTTCATTGCAAGTAAGTTGGAAAAAGTTGCTGCCCTGTCCTTGGGAGGTCCCAAAACGAACACACCCTGCTCTGACTGGGAAAACTTTTTATAGAGAGCTCTGGCTTGCCTTTTCTTTCTCTCTTCCAAATTCAGTCTGGAGAATGAGATCTTTTCAAAGTAATCCAGTAGCCCAGGAAGGATTGTACATGCAGAAAGCCCATAATCTCTGCTACAGCATAAGAGAGCTGCAATGCAGCTTGGAGAAGGTTAAATGATAAAAAAATATGGCAGACATGGTAAGTATTTGGCATGTTACACGCAACAAAAGATGAACAACAGCAACTGGGACATTATCTTTATTTGCTAAAAATAGAGTCCTGCAAAGTTTAAAGAAAAGCACTTTATACTTGTAAACCTCTCCTCTGGCTGTTAAAGAGCCTTCAAAGGTGGGCTTTGTGGTTTTGGGATGTCACAACCCCTTTCAAAGGCTGCCCAGGGCTCAGACAATTGAAAATCAATACAACATCAGCCATGATAGGGCGGGGGGTATAAATAGTTCTGACAAGACCCTGCTTTTCTAACTCATCAGAGCCTGATGCATGAATGGGAGCTTTGCAGCAGGTAGGTCCCCAACTCAGCCACATCCTGCACCCGGGGTACCCACGGCACAGCCCAGGTCCCCCAGCCACGCAGGGCAGAGGCAGCCCGGCACTGAGCGCACTGGCAGGGCCACCAGAAAGCGAGCAGATTGATTGCCCACGACGCTGCCGAGTTATGCACGGGCATTTGATACACTGCAGCTGACGGGCCGGTTGCAGAGCTGGGTGCCTGGCCGCCCGTCCGCACCTTCAAAGAATCGCTCATCAACCGCACGCGGGCGTGCTCACTTCCCCAGTACGCTGTAACGAGGGCAAAAAAAATCCTCCCATTCTCCCTTGCTCCAAAACCAACATAGCCAAGTCTGAGGTTTTGGCCAATGCTGTTGCATCTCAGGATATTTGTGCATTAATGCAGAAA